GCCGTGTTTTCCCACCTGGTGGCCTCCAGGACACAGAAAGACCTGAAGCAATGATACAGCCAGGAAGGAGGAGCAGAACCCAAAATTCTCTGAGATCAAAGCACTTTTGTTTAGAGATTTTCCATTAGATCAGGACATGCTCTGTCTGCTTTTCCTTGCTGCGTTCATAATGCAGATGAGCTTCATATCAACTTGGCCTCCTTTCCTCCTACCACATTGGCTCCAGCTTCATTTCGTTAGCGATGGCCTGTCTTCATTAGTGACTTAATTCCCCAGGAATTGCACTGCAATAAACCCTACCAGAGCAAGGACCAGCGAAGACGCATCTTGGGGCTGGCTGGATAACTGCAAGTATTTTCTGGACAAAAAGGATCTTCACAGAAATACTGAAAACCAAACAAATTTTATTCAAACCAGACCTGGAATCTTTGAAGCTTTTTCAGCCAAAAGAAGAGGAGATATTTTGTGAGTGTTGGGTTTGGATTGACCTGTGGGTTGGAGACCTAGGGTATGAGCCCTCATCTCTCTCGGGGGACAGACCCCGAGACAAAAGTCAAACCAATAGAAATTCAATGGATACATTGCTCTCCGTTTGTTTTCAGGTGTGTCCTGATATGTTAGACGGCCATGGGGGCTTTGCCCACCCAGTGCCAGACACTTAAAGAGCAGGTCCTGAGCTGAGCTGGGCTCCCTTGGCTGCAGCAGAGAGGGATGCAGAGATCTGACCACATCAAGATGTGGCAGAAGAAGTTGAAACTAGTCTGGGAAGGATGAGCAAAGGGGAAGGAGGGAGGATGGCGTCCTCAGGTCCAGAGAGTATTTCATGATCTCCTGGAGAAAAGGGGCCTCAGCGTCTCCCCCGGTGACTCCATCCTCAGCCCAAGAAACTTTGACTGCGACATCTCCAGGAGCATCCCATCATGAGGCAGCATCTCTCCCAGGAGCACCCTGGTCCCTGTTAGCTCTGCTCAGCCTTTGGGGACAATTTGTCTGCCTCTGCCTCCAACCATCACTTCTTGCGCTTCCTCTGGGGATGCAAACAGCACTCCATCAATAAGTGATATTTTGCCTCTCTGCATGATTGTCCAAACCCTCCAAGACATTTTTGTTCCACACCAAACCAAAGCTCCTGCCCATCCCATTTTACCAGGGTATCAACAAGGCTGGATGGTTGCTGTGCTCCCTCCAGACTCCTTTCTCCTGGCCTTGGCAGGGCAACTAGGAGGACTTGGGCTGATGCCCATCTCTGTGGGGAAGGGATGGTGCAAAAACCGCCAGTGAGGGAGGGCAGGAGGAAGATCTAACCATTATGGTCAGGCTCAAAACCCCACGGACGAAGGAAACAAACCCCAGTTGTATGATGATGGCGGTGACTATTATCACGGACATTTTAGTCGCAGCTGTTAATAAAAATAACAGTAGTAATAAAATTGCAATGATGCTAGCAATTGTTCCAGTGCTGATGATAATAATGAGATTATTTATTAATTGTGAGCCATTAACAGCGTTTTCTAGTGCTTCTGCCTCCCAGACCCACCCCAAATTCCAGCCCTATCAAATTCATGCAAAATGAGGTAAATGCGAAAGGTTTTTTCTTTATGGCATAGCCAAGGAAGAAACAATGGGAACAGCAAAGTCTGTCCCTGACCGCTCTGCTAATTGCCCCCCACCAAAGGCCCTGTGCCGCGCGGTTGAGCATTAGGTGGGATCTTGCATTTCCCTCCTTTAAGTAGCATTTGCTGCTCAGAGCAGCTGAGCCTCACGGGAGCTGCACGGTCAGACCCTGTGCGGTGGACAGAGGAGGAACTGAGTCATTTTATGGCTTTTTTCATCCTCCGTGTAGGGCTGACAGGGATGTTGGGCACCCATGAGCCCCCGGGGACTACGTTTCCCTGCAGGGTGCTGCCCTTGGCTTGTTGCTTGAAGGAGCAAAGGGAACAAAAGCCCCAGCTCTAAACGTTGCTGTTTGTTATGGATTTTTGGGTTCAGCTATGGTCCCCATGGCTGGGGCACACGTGCAGTGGGATGTACAGACAGGCTTTGCTCTCAGCAGCTGGCTGCTTCTGCAGCACCACGCTTAAACCTCACGGCGTGCAGCGAAGCGAGGAGCAGGGAGAGCCAGGGCCTGGAGCTCGAAGGGTGGCTGCATGGGTCAGGCCAGGCATGGGCAGTGGGGTGGCGGGCGTGGGTGTGCGGGAAGGAGGGATGGGTGTGGGCCATGGCAGAGAGATGGATGCATGGCAAGGAGGCACGCGTGCAGTGGGATGTACAGACAGGCTTTGCTCTCAGCAGCTGGCTGCTTCTGCAGCACCACGCTTAAACCTCACGGCGTGCAGCGAAGCGAGGAGCAGGGAGAGCCAGGGCCTGGAGCTCGAAGGGTGGCTGCATGGGTCAGGCCAGGCATGGGCAGTGGGGTGGCGGCGGTGGGTGTGCAGCAAGGAGGGATGGGTGTGGGCCATGGCAGAGAGATGGATGCATGGCAAGGAGGGGGGATGGATGCACAGCGAGGTGGGGGCATCCATGTGAGGCAAAGAGGGGTGAATGTGCAGTGGAGAGATGGATGTGCATTAACGAGGGATGGACGTGTACTGAGAAGGGATGGATGTGCAGCGAGGGTGGGTGGATGTGCAGCAAGGACGGATGGATGTGCAATGAGGATGGATGGATGTGTAGCGAGGACGGATGGATGTGCAGTGAGGAGGACAGATGGATGTGCAGTGAGGATGGATGGATGTGCAGTGAGGAGGGGGAAGGGATGTGTAGCGAGGACGGATGGATGTGCAGTGAGGACGGATGGATGTGCAGCGAGGAGGGGGGAGGGATGTGCACTGAAGCAGAGAGGTGGACGAGCAGCCGGCAGCGTGTGGGGCGGTTGCTCTGCTCTGTGTGTGTTACACACTCTGGACCATGCAAGCTTGTGTGCGTCCAGGGACCTGAGGTCTGCACAACCTCCACAGCTGTCCCGATAGCCATCTGCAACAACACGCAATGTTCTGGAGCTGCAGGGGGCCGGGACTGTCCAGGCTGGGCCCCCTGCAGCCTTTTCCCATTCCCTCTACTTTGGCTACAAGAGCGAACACTGCGTCCCCTGATCTGACCCTGGTTCATCACTAACAACGGGGTTTCAGTGCTCACTCCGTCCCGCGTGCTCCCCCAACCCAGGCAGGAGGCCAGGGGGAAAAGGGGTGTGTGCTCTGGGAGCAGGTCCATGCCCGGGTGCTGGCTGCAAGCCCTGGGAGGGTTTTTGGGGACCACGGCAGTTCAGCAGCCTTGTCCCTCCGGCGACGGCTGTCGCACAGCTCTGCAGGGCAAAGAGCACCTGGGATGGCAGCGTGTTCAGCAAAATCAGTAGAAGACCCTAAAAACCCCTGGGAGTGGGGAAATAGGACACAGCTTGCAGGGAAGGGGCTAGGGCAGGGGGCTCGAGCCTAGTGAGGTGGGAGTGGGGTGTCACAGCGGGAAGGGCACATCAGCCCTCCCAAGGACCTGTTGTCGGTGACATGGGGTGCACAGACCAGCACGCAGCCCCACGGGAGCCTCTGGTGTCCCTCTGCCACCCGCCGCTCCCATTGGCCCCCCCGCCCTTTCCCTCCGCTTGGCCCGCAGCGCCGGTGCTCTCCCACCACCCTTCATCCTCCACGTGCCCCAGGTCTCCCTGCCCTGCGCCTTTCTCAGGGTCTCCTGCCCTTTCTCCTCCCCACAAGGAATAAATCACCCTCTGGCTCCAGCCTCCGCTCTCAGAGGAAACGGCAGCCTGCATTGCTACCTCCTTCCCATGGGACCTGGCTGCCTCTGGGATGCTGGGAATCTTTTTCCAGACCAGAGGGGGGCTCATTTGGGAAAGCCATTGGGGACCAGTGGCTACAGACCCTCTGGACTCCTGGGGATCGACGTCCCCCCCCTCCATCCTGCACCCCTCCACGCTCCCACCCTGATACCCATGAGATGCGTCTTGAGATGGGATCTTCAAGGGGGAGAGAGCATGGGTTTGGGTCCTTGGCTGTATTAAAAAGCCCCCAAATGCTCCATTTTTCCACCACAGGTAAAGGCTGCAGACATGCAGCAGGGAGCTCTCAGCATCAGGGTGGAGATCCAGGTTTGCCAGCTACCTCCACATGTCCCCATGGCCGGGTTAACACCGGCATCACTGAAAAACCCAGCAAACAGTCAGAAAAACTTCCTTTGTTCAATCCCCTCCGGTGGAAAGCAATAACACTTGGGATGTGAGTCTTCTCAGCCCCCAAGGAAAAGCTTTTCTTTGAGGGCCAGGGGGAAAAATCAATCTAGCAGGCTCCGCTTCCCGCTTGGAGAGCTCTGGAGAGATGAGCCCAGCCCCAGCCTGCTCCCCGGTGGCATCAGGGAGAGAGAAGAGCCCAGCCGGAGCATGGCTCTCCTCCTCCTCCTCCATCCCTTGGCACCGGCCCATTAGGAAAAAGGGTTTTGTCAATCGGCCCAGCACATTAGGAAATGAAACAGGCTGTGCCCAGAAGCTTCCCCAAGGGTCCATTAGCACCGGCAGATCCTTCCTCCAGCCTGGCAGGTCCCAGAGGATGCTTTTGTTGGCAATTTCCTCCCCTGGCACAGGGGGAACTGTCTGCAACAGGGGTGGTGCACGGGGGGAGGAAGGGGTGATCTGCTGCTCTGGGTGTAGGGTGCTCAGGGTTGAAGACGCAGGCGTGCTCCAGATTGCTAATGCATCTCCTGGCTTGGCATCAACCCCCAGAGCTCCAGGATCACGTCTGAGGTCTCTGCCCATCCCTGGGGCCAGGGGTGGTGGGGGCAGACAGAGCGAGGTTCCTCAAGGCCCATGTAGGGAAAC